AATTTCTATGTTGAGCACCTAATTTCCAAGGTGACGGTATTAGGAGGTGATTAGGTCGTGACGGTGGAGCTGTCATGAACAGGATTAGTGCCCTGCAGTAAGGAATGAGGACGGACGCTGTCTGTCCCTGCTGTGTAAGGACACAGCGAGAAGAGAAGCTGCCCCTCTGCAAACCAGGGAGCAGGTCTTCCTGCAGCGGCTTTCGTCCTGCACTCACCAGAGAGCTGCCTCACTGTTGAGCCAATGCCCTGGCCAGGAGGCATTCAATAAAGGGCCATTCTGATAAGGAGGAAGAGGAGAGGGACGTGGTGAAGAGGCAACTCCTCCCTGGCCCTGCGGTTCCCTGATCAGGACAGCTGACCCAGCTCAGGCTGCTCCCACCTCTCCAAGAGCCCCCAGACCTCTGCTTCTACACTTGGCTCCCTGTGTGTCTGTCCCTAGGAATCTTTAATCCAGAACCAAACTGTGGTCTCAATAAAGGAAAAAAATTTCTATCAAGCAGAAGACAGGCTGTCTTGCTTTTCTCCTGGAAAAATATACCCCAATCCATCTTCCCACAAGCGGTTTCTACACCATGTGTGCCCTCCCTCAAAACATGGCCCAGTCCTGTGCACAGCACTGAGACCCAGAGGCCATGAGAGTCTGCTAAAAACAGCTCTCAACATTCCCTGCTCTGAACTGGGTGCCCAAGGCGACCTCACTGTGACCTTGGAACACCTCAACTCCCCTCCTGGGCCTGTTTCCTCACTTGTAAAAGGATGAGGGTGGACTAGATGCCATCTTATTCTCTGCCCCCAAGTGAGACAAAATCAGAGAGAGCAACATGCATCAACTCTGGGAGCTCCTGCCACCCTGCACAGGCAGGGCCCTTCACTGGAGCCTGACATGGGATTCGTGTTGTGGAGGCAACCTGGGGCAGGTGCATACTGGGGCAAGACGCTGGGACTAAATCCCATGAAGAATGATAATCCGGTCCAGCCCCCACGCCTGACCCTTTCAGGGGCCATTTACACACAATTGGTCCCAGCGCCCACTGGAGGACAAGGGCACATTCTTCAAGCAGGACCAACCATGCAGGGCCCCAGGGAGTCCTGGGGTTGGGGGAGAGTCTCTTGCCCTGACACCCAGAAGGCAGGGTGTGCTAGCCCCCCCCCATGGTTCCTCCCTTAGGTCTCCTCCCCAGGCCCTGCAGGACCCAGTCCACAAGGATGGGTTGAGCAGGCGCACTAGACAGACCTCTGACCCCTGGCTCCAGTCCAAGGACCAAGGCTTGGGGCCTCCCTCCCACCAGCCACGGGGAAGGGCAGGTGGGCCGCCTCCACGTGCCCTCACCCAGAGATCAGGTTAGTTCCTTGATCCTCCACCTCAGCCAGGGACCCCCACCCCACCAGCAAGCCCAAGACTTCACACTTACGGACGAGTCCAGAACAGAGGCACCTCAGGGGAACCTGGGGAACAGCTCAGCTTGGGAACCCGTAGGGCCCCCCCAAACCTCGGGGACTTCACGCCCAAGCACTGCTGCCACCCCCAGGAACTCTCTAGGGTCATCCTCACACCTCCAGCACCACCCCTGCCCAGAAGGCTCCCCCGGGTCTGGGGCTGCTCACCCCCAGGGCTCTACCACTCCTGGGCTTCGATCCCAAGGCCTCAAGGGTTCGGGTTCCGTACTGGCCAGCTGCCAAAAACAAAAATAATAAAAAAAATATATNTCCCCCGGCTCCCCAGTCCCCCGGCTCCCCAGTCACCCCGACCCGGCCCTCCTCACCGGTCGAGGAGTCTTCGCAGACGCCGGGCAGCACAAGTGCCAGCAGCACGAACAGCACGGCCGCCACGTCGTCCTCCGCGTTCGGCCTCCAGTCGCCGCCATGGCCTCCGCCGTCCTAAGAACCGCGCTAGCGAGGCCGGGAGACGACGGCGGCGGGCACGTGACCCCTGCGTGCGGCGCTCCCAGCCAGGAGAGGCGCGTCCCGGCGTTGCTAGGATACGGGGGCGGGGCCTGCGAGGAAGGGCGGAGCCTGGTGCGTTTAACCCGGTGCTTTCAAAAAGTTACAAAGTGACAAGGAACTGCACGCTGAGAGTCACACAGTGTCGTCTATTGTGTGAAGGTGAGAAAGGAAAATAAAGAATGATAGAAAACGGGTGGAAATGGTAAACTTTATTTATTTATTTTTCATTTTATTTCATTTCTTTTTAAAGATGACCGGTAAGGGGATCTTAACCCTTGACCTGGTGTCGTCAGCACCACCTCTCCCAGGTGAGCCATGGGCCGGCCCCTATAAACTTTATATTACGTAAATTTTATCACAATTAAGAGAAAAAAATTATTAAGTCACGGGAGAGGGAGCTAATAAAAATACCTGGATGGCAGTTAAAATTGAATCTCAGAGAATGAGTAGGTTTCACAGGATAAGCATCCTGTGCAGTATTCACATAGTTATACAAAAAAGTTAACACCAAGGTCAAGGGTTTGGGTCCCGTACTGGCCAGTTGCCAAAAAAAATAATAATAAAACATATATATATAAAGAAAGTGTATTAGTCCGTTTCTGTTGCTTCTAACAGAATACCTGAAACTGGGTAATTCGCAATGAAACAAT